GCTTTGTTACGATATCTCGTGTACTGCATTCAAGCCATCTGGGAACCGGAAGCTCGGAAATCTTTCCAGCTTCTATTTCTACGTTTAATTCACAGTGGCGTGCCACTGTGGCGGCTTCTTCCTTGATCCTTTGTGGGTTAGGGGAGCTAACTCATCTTCTAGGTTCATCAGGTTGTTTCTGATTATACTCCAGATTTCCTCTAAGTCCGCGTCCGGCTCCGAACTGTGCCAACGCAGTTTAGCTGCCTTAGATCGGAGTACATACACGTCAATCCTTCCAAAGTTCCTACACATTCCTTCACGGCGTCTAGGTAGTTTTAACTGAAGTGTCATCTTGATGAGAAGATGATCACTTTTACCGATAGGAGGGTGATACTCTAGACTCTGTCCCTCTTCCTCCTGCGCTGTAATGATCAGGTCCAACAGCGACGGCTGTTGGCCTTCCCGATATCTGGTGTTCTCCTTCACGTGCTGATAAAGGGCTCGGGATTGAATCCATTTGAGGTAGCTTTCACCTGAACCTCGAGGACACCTCCCGAGCTCCCAGTCAACATACCTAAGATTGAAGTCACCCATAACGACCAGTCTGGTCGAATTTCGAGCTAAGTTGTCTAGTGCCTGGATAGTCTGTTGATCCTCGGAATGCGTGGCACCAGGACCCCTGTACACGCAGGCGATGGACATTTTTCGGCTATTTATAATAAGATTCACTGCAACTAGCTGCACATTGAGAGTCGAAAACTTAGTATTCGATTCTACTGAGCATAAGTGGGTTCTTAGTAGCAGGGCTGCTCCCCCACCCTGTACAGAGCCACCCCTATCTGTTTTTGTAGGTAACATAGTTATCCTGAACTATACTAGAATTAGGATAACTCTCTGAGAGCCAGGTTTCTGTTATACCTACAGCGGTAGCCTTATGGGTCTCTGCTGCCATCAGAACCTCGGTTCACTTGTTTTTGACACTGCAAGTTTTTGCAAACAGCAATGTTATTCTCTTGTGTCCATTTCCTATTTCGAATATCTCCTCGGGCGAAGAACCCGAGGAGAACCCACGTTTTTGGGGGCCTGTTCAACAACCTTCTCGCGTGGAGTTGCACATCTTACCGTACAATCCTGCCCCCTGGACTCTGATGCCCTCTTCAGGGGCGTGCTATTTGCACAGGTTGTGTCCCCCTGCCGACCAACTGTATCACTTACCTTTGAAGTTTTAGGGCAAGTCTGTCATTCTTCTTCTTCCAATATGTCCTCTACTATGACGACCGCCTTATTGGTCACAGGGTCAGAGCTATGAAGACCCACTACCCGCGTATTTGCAGGCATCTGCTGTTGGGGCTTCGCTCGATTTTGGGACCCGAGAAGCTGCCTTGGTTGGTCAGGGACTATCCTAAATCGTCCCTCCGTACGATTCGCTATCCAACCAGCCCTCGGGAGGAGCAGATTTCGTACACCCGGATTGTTGAATTCTTCAAGAATCGGTCGTGCTGAAATGTGCTTACTCGGCGCAGGGTTCTTCCAAACTCCAACCCTGTGCACTCTTCGGAGGGAATTTTTGGGGATTTAATCCTGCCAGCCGCGGGATATCCACCGCCCTCCTTCGATCAATTTCTCTCCAGGTTTTCGATTCCCTGATCATAGACTCCTCATTGTTGATAATAAGCACTGTTATGTTGCAGCTTTTCATCCTCTTGCCAGATAGGGCTTCTAAATCCCTACTGAGGAGGTTAACTTTGCTTCGAAGATCCGGAACCGTTAGGTTTTTTACCCTCTGCTGTAGTGGGGGTTCTGTGGACTGGTCAACGCACAGATACCACCAGCCTTGAACTTCCTTGTCGGGTTCTTCGCTTTTGGCGTATCTACATGTATTGACTTACACTCCGACTGTGGGCCTTTTTACTTCTTCTAACACTTCCCTTCGTGGTCACAGCTTCGGCATAGCTTTTCGGGGTAATGCTACTAGCTACGCTTCGTCTGGTGGCCTGCTGTTTATGGACCATTTGAGGACTTTGCCCCTCGCCTACCGCCTTTGCACTGAAAGCGAGCGCCGCTGCAGTCTTGCACGTTTTACATATCAACTTCAAGTCAGGGTACTTGCAGAATAGACTGTACGTTTCCTGCCTGATTCCAGAACACTTCTGGTGTGCCCAACGTTTACATATACCACATTCTATTCCTCTAACTACTTTTTTCCTACATCCAATAGCCAAACAGGGGAAGGCAACCTTAAGCATTTTAACACAAGAAAAGGAATATATGCAAGGAAAACTTTGCGTATACTCTGGAAACGTTCGTAAATAAGCAATTAGTGACACTTGTATCGGGATTTAGATGAAATCCCGAGAAACAACCAAGAAAGGACTAGAACTGTCACTTTTAACCTGTGCGGTTAGGAATTAAAAATGTATCTTACAGATACTTCCATAATACACGGGTTGCCAGTTTATTGTTATGAACAATTTATTGACAATACACTGAAAACCGATTTGGTAATTCAAAACAGCGAGAAACACAACCGAATTTGAAGGGACCGGCAAGACAATTCCGCCTGACCACAACAACACCCAGGTAAGACAGCTTTCATGGAAGACGCTCGAGCGGCAACATGTCGGAGGACTTGCTGAAGTCCACAAAGAAGCAAGACATGTGGTCAGCACGGATCATGGAATTGAATTTAGCACGTTTGTGGGCTTGGATTTCAGTAGGCAGAAGGTGGTTGAGCAGGAGCGATTTCAAGGACTCGTATGGTAGTTTAGCGGAAACCTCGAGAGATGTCAGGTGTTTTAGCAGCGAATACAGATCACGGCCGCCAGCAGTGAGAAACAGAGCCGATTGGTTTTGCAAACCACCTTTTTGAATACTGCACCACAGCT